CTGTGGATTCCATACACAAAGCATTGCCACTTCAAGTGGGGAGTAAGCCACAGGAGCCGAAATACTCATAGGAAACAGATCTCATTCACTAAAATGATCTTTTAAAAAAAGATCAGCTATGGGGTGGAGGGGACAGAAATGTGTGACACAAACAGAACTATTTTTCAATTGATAATTTTTCTACCTTTCCAAGGAAGCTTTGATGGATTCCATACACAAAGCATTGCCACTTCAAGTGGGGAGTAAGCCACAGGAGCCGAAATACTCATAGGAAACAGATCTCATTCACTAAAATGATCTTTTAAAAAAAGATCAGCTATGGGGTGGAGGGGACAGAAATGTGTGACACAAACAGAACTATTTTTCAATTGATAATTTTTCTACCTTTCCAAGGAAGCTTTGACCACGCTTTAAAAACTTTAATTTACATAAAGAAATAAACTTAGACCTAAATGAACACTAGCAACTTGAAATCTAGTCATTTTTAAAAAAAGGGGCTGAAATAGATTCTGTCCTTGACTTTTGTCTGTTTTTATCATTTTAAAAATGACATTTTCTAATTTTTAAAAAAATTCTTTCCCATCCTTTTCCTTTACTTTGCAGAAAAAAACCACACAAACAGGAAATTGACTACACAAGCGAAAGTGAAATGATGGAGTGCAGAGTGCTGTCAAATCCAAATAAATAAAGAGAAATATATATAGATTTTTTTCTCCAATTTCTTTCAGCTCTAATAATCTTTGGTGCCAATAGTGGGTAAAAAAATGACAGAAGTGCAGTGATTTCCAATGTCACCATACTTCTTTAAAAGCTACAATTTCATTCCGAATGAGTCTACCTCAATTATTTAATCAATCACTAGGATCTTTCTACACAATAATATATAATCATTTTCTTTATGTAAAGTTCTATTAAAATCAGTGCACAAGTATTCTGTGTGTTGCAAAAGGAAGTCAGAGTTCTGACAAAAAGCAATGAAAAGTAGTTTTAAAAAGCAATATTCACAAATATATAACATAAAACATTACTTCATATTAGGTATGAGCTGCTTATAAAAGACTGTTTCCATACTAAGCACTTTTGTGGCAAGAAAATATAAACACATATGTATATGCCCATCTCAATGGGAAAAAAATTTAAATTAACTGGATTAAAATAATTTAAAATATGCACAGAGCCAATATTTCAGCCCAGTGCTACTTGAAATAGTTCCCTAAAAATTAGCTGTTTGTGAAAATTACAAGAAACTCACATACACTGAGGCTACCACCAGTTTTTATTGCGCTGTGTTATGTGAATTTAGTGCTTGTAAAAGACGCCTCATTGACATGACTAGAAAATGAAATCCTCTAACCACAGAACAGCTACAATTGACACTCTTCTAGTCTGAGCTTCCTCACCCAGCTCTGTCATGGAATGTAGTTCAGCTTCCATACTCATTCACTCCTTGACTTCTCTGAGGAGACTATCAACCAAACAATTGTTACCATTGTACTGGGTTTTATCATATGGACAGTCATCCCTAGACAACTGGACTGAGACCACAAGATTTCAGAGGCTGCTGAGCATCCAACAGTAAAAAATTAAATTCACTGCTGGGCGGGATACAAACTGATGATTCGTGAAGGGTTCTAGATTTCATTATCTCAGATGGATCCTTTTGGTTACGCTAATTCACATATTAATTTAATTTCTCCAGGTCCCTTTATGCCACGTAAGAGGGTGAATGAATGTTTATTATTTGCATTGCCCCAGCACCACGCTACAGCTACGTCTATACTACAAGCCTTTTTGTGTAGACAGCGCCTTTTTGCACAAAAACGCCTTTTGCACAAGAGCTGTTCTTCCTCAAAACCTATGCAAATGAGCGCTCAATTTGCATTTGCTCTTCCGCAAGAGGCTTGTAGTATAGATGTAGCCTAAGTGATATACAAAAACCAACATATTACACGTCCAAATATACAGTATCTGAATGAAAGGGTGGTGATGATGAATGTAAAGCAGGTCTATAGAATGATAAGCATACATCTTATAGTGCCACATCTTTGTTTGGAACCTGTCAATTGTTAGGTGTTCCATTTGCCTTCTCTGTACCACCCATTATTTTGTATGCTTTGTTGAGGTTTTCTTTCTAAACTACTGTATCAATATTTTCAAGCTCTCGTCAGATGGAAGTTCTTTATGTCTCTACTATTTTTCCTTGTCTGTCTTTGAAATGTCCTTGTTTCCCACCCCCTTCCCTCCCAGGACATTTGTTCTGAGACTGGTGACCATAAAGATCCCAATTGCCTGTGTGATGGCGTATCACTGGTTTCTCTAACGCAGTGTTTCTTAAACTGTGTTCCGCGGCACACCGCTGTGCCGCGGAGAACAGAATTCAAAATGGACACCCTTAAAGGGGCAGGCGACTTTTTCTCTCTCTCAATTTTCCCCCAATTCTTTTTTTTCCTGAATAACTTTTTCCCTCGACTTTTTTTTTTTTGGCTTGGTGTTCCTTATAAAAAAAATTGTTTGGTGTTTCTCAGTCTTAAAAAGTTTAAGAAACACTGCTCTAATAGTATTATAACACTGTCACTATTCATTGTGCACTCCAACATCGTTTTTTACACTATGGTTGCACGCTAGCAGGTTTTTGTTGAGCTATCTTCATTGATGCTTTCTTTCCTGAATGGTTGCATTTATTTTAGAACTCATCACCACGTAGGTGTACTTGGACTCTTTGGGCCTGTCAAGGCTGTTCCCTACTCTGGCATGTCAAGTGCAGAAAGTGGGGGCCTAAAAGAAACTTTAAAAATATCTTGCCTTTATAGGCTTCTGCTTAAAAACTCCCCAGTCACAGATTCCCTGATCTTGAGTGGTATGCTGCCACTACCTACGTGAAAAATAAAACTTTCTTGAACCCAGGAAGATTCACTTGGGAAGTTCTTCTAGAAGGGTAGCCCAAGCTATTTTACCACAAGAGAGCTTGGAGGAAAAAAAAGGAAAACTAATCTCTGATAGCTGACCTCTCAACCTTTGGCTTGCATACACAGACCTTCTATTACCTTCCAGGACACAAGAATCAGATCATAGTCTTAAAAACAGTGATTTTATTAACCAAAGGTATATCTGGTAAAGCATACTCGGTTGCTAGGTGTTGTAAAGCCACTGAGCAAAAACAAATTAAAGAACAGAGAATTGCTTCCCTGGGATTCAGCTTTAGGTATAGTGCATGGGGAGGAAGGGAGGTGCACATGGACTCAGCACAGAGGAATTTAATCAAACTACAACAAAGAAAATAACCTGACTGCAATGTCTAATTAAACATTCACTTACATATCTGTATCTTCAAGATCCTGCCCATTTCCAGGCATGGGTAATCTTGCCTGGTTCAATTCACCCCCCACCCCCGGCCCCGTTTAAACGCTCTCTTTCTCACTCTCTCTCTCTCTCTCTCTCACACGCACACACACATACGTAGCAGACAAATTTCCTTTCAACTCAAATCTCAACAGTTTCTTTCCATTGGTTCTCCTGGCTTCCTGCCAACACTTCCTGGTTACCTGCTTTTCTGGGATTAACCCTTTAGTTACTGAATGCAGTAATGTTTTAAAAAAGGGTAGTACTACTCCCATCCATCACAGGGCCAAATTTAGAAGTGATGCCCTATGTGACGTTAGTTAGACCAGAGGCTTTCAACCTTTCCAGACTACTGAACCTCTTGTAAGATCGGTCTTTTGGACCCCAAATTTCACTTTAAACTTATTATCTACAAAATAAGACATACAAGTAAAAAAGTGTAAGAGCAATTATTGCTGAAGAATTGTTTACTTTCTAATTTTTACCACAATTATAAATCATTGTGATATATTGTATTTACTTTTCAGCGTACAATATAGAGAGAAGTATAAACAAGCCCTGCTTTGAAATTTTAGTTTGTCCTGACTCTACTATTGCTTTTTAATTAACCTGTTGCAAAACTAGGCAATTATCTAGATGAGTATATGTTCCCTCTGCATACCCCCAGGGATGAGCATACCAGTTTGAGAACCACTGAATTAGATCATCAAGCTTAACATCTAGACAGACTCCATCAGATTCACTTAGTTCTGCTAGATTTATTTATACCTATTTTATGCTAACCTATTTCAAGAGGTTAATCTTTCCAGATGAGCACCCAGTCAAGAGGATGCCAGAACAGTTCTTGATAGCTATTCTTACAGGCAGCAGGTAATAGAGGACTTTTGCCTTCCAGGATAATACTTTTCTTTTTTTACACAAATCTGGAACTGAACCACATAGCAGCTAAGTGATTTGCCCAAAATGCTGTGCCAGAGAACATAAATGAACCCAAGCAAGTGTCCTAACCACTGCACACTATGAACAAATTGTACTAATTAAACACACACAGTGTACAGCACCAGGCACAAAAAGCCTCAGTCAGACTTTCCAAATGCAAGTTCTAATATTGTGAGAACTCTAACTATATACTTATGCTTCTTTACAATTATGGTTTGCTTTGTTGACATTTATGCTTTTTGTGGGTTTTTCATCATAGCAAGCTGTTTTTCAGTGAAATTAGGAATTAAAAAAAAACAACAGTTCATTTCCCTCCCAGTTGCTACAATGTATTTTCTCATATTTTGTCCAGCCCAGTACTATATTTTATAAGCCAGGGTACTTCTATCACTTGCTTTTGAGACCATTCAACAAACTAATGCACTTCACTATTCAGCAGTTTTTCCTGATATTTAATCTAAATTTTCCCTCCAGCCACCAAATCATTTTTATTGCTTTTCTCTGAACTCTCTCCAGTTTGCTGATATCTTTCTACTGGGAACTGAATGCATTATTCCAGGTAGTCAAACCAAATAAAGACCATGGCCCCTGGGATACCTTTGCCTATACGAGGCCCAAATTATGTTAACCTTTTTCAAGCCACAAGCTGATGTTTAAATCACTGATCATTAACCAACCTCTGTCTATTTTCTAGGTTTTCAACTCCCACTAGATTTGTGTTTTGCTTATTTTTCTTCACATGCACTAGTTTACATTTTATTTCAATATGACTTGTTTTATCTTAGGCACAACTTACACCACTTAAACTATTGCTCACTCTTAAAGCAATAATGAGGACACAACTACATATACTTTTGATATAATCAACCAGCGTATATTCCTCAGGATATATTGAAAACAGCATCAGGTATTTATTATATAAATACTGCTTAGGACTGCTTTTTAGAAAAGGGACCTTGCTGTGTTGTTAGACGTTTAAAGTTGGGAAAAACAAACCAACTTAGGAATATGCCTTATGAAATTGCCACCAGATGATACATTTAATAAGATTAAACAAAAATTGAACAATGAAAGGAGCAGGATGGAAAGAAGGGATAAAGGACAAGATAGTTATCTTAAATAGAAAAAGTTCTTTATCTGGAAACCTCCCTGACTGAAGGAAATTCAAATGCTAAGTGTGTCAGATCCAGTTGCTCAAAAGACTGAACCAAAAAAGAAAGATGATTTTATGATCCATGTTAAAAATTCTGAAATTAACTGAAAATTGATTGCAAATCCATTGCTTGGGAATGTTTGTCATACAGAAATCAATGTATAATTTAATTATTTTAAACATATATTAAACATATTTAATTCACTGTTGATTATTGTAGCAGAAATAGTTTCCATGTCCTTTAGTCTCCCCATGAAAACTTCATAAGAACGGCCATACTGGGGCAGACCAAAGGTCCATCCAGCCCAGTATCCTGTCTGCCGACAGTGGCCAATACCAGGTGCCCCAGAGGGAGTGAACTGAATAGGTAATGATCAAGCCATCTCTCTCCTGCCATCCATCTCCACCCTCAGACAAACAGAGGCTAGGGACACCATTCCTTACCCATCCTGGCTAATGATGTCAGATCCAGTTGCTCTTGTCCTTTAACTCTTCTATCATGCAGTTATGCATTATCAATTAAAAAAATAAATCCCTGTGAAAAAGGAATTACGAAAACAGCAGAATTAATAAGGAATTATTTTGGGGAAGTTTTATTGCCCAGTGTTACACAGGTCAGACTAGATGATCATATTGGTCCCTTTTGGCCTTGGTGTCTGTGAAACCATTACTGAAATTGCAGTACTGATTATACGATTCAGTTTCATATTTAACTCCTCAAAAACCTCCATTTTAAGATATGTCATTGAGTGGGAGGGGGGTGTTTTTAATAAGCAGTGAATTAAATGAATCCATGTAACAAAATACATAGGATACAGTACAGAGGGCTATATTTTAAAGTAATTTTTAAGCATCAATATAGGCTTTATTTCTTTTTCCTAACCAATATCCTTTAGCCTTTTGCATAATGGCAAAGTGGACATCAAATATATGACACCCGTGGGGCTTAACCCCTACTGCTATGTGGCTTATTGCTTTCTTAAATGAAAAAAAAAATACTTCTGAACACAGCTTTAGTGTTACACTAGCTGACATACCCATACTAAGTTATAGACTTGTCTGATAACTCATTCTTGAATAATGTTAGATTTTAACAAACCGCAGAAAACTTTATGCATTTTTTATTCAGACTAGAGTTGGGGCATTTCCTTTAAGTTTAAAAATGACATTATCTTATTCAACTTCAAAAGTATTTAAACACTATTCGCTCAAGAGGAGTACAGACAAGAAAATTAATCATGGTTGTTTAATTGATATTTACTTTATTTTTTCATAAAAATATTAAGAGCTTGGTCTAGAAACAACTGCAATGAAACTGCTGCCATGAAATTGAGAAATGGATCATATACTCTAAACTGAAGCTGTGCAACAGACAGAGGTTACATCCCCATCAGTGTAAGGCATCTGGTTTCAGTCCTATAGGCTGCTTAGTATTGTCCATGATTCACCACCACTTAAAAATTCACGCTTAAATTTAAGAATGAGAACTGCTCTACTCAAGTCAAGTACTTTTTGCCTAAGTTTATCCTAAATGAAGCAGGTCGGCTTAAAGTACGCCATTCAGCTACACAAAATCGTGTAGCTGAATTCAGCTTCCCTTAAGCCACACTGCTGCAGCAGCTACTCTGATGGAGGCTGACAGGAGCACACACTCCCGTTGGCTTCCCTTACTCCTTGTAGAATGAGGAGTACAGGATGCTGGCAGGGGCTGCCCTCATCATTCGATTTTGGGTCTATACTAGACCTGCTAAATTGAATGCTAGAAGATCAACCTCTGGAGGGTCGATCTTCCCTGTAGTGTATACATGCCGTAAGTACTGTGATGGCATGGAGGCAGAAAACCCTGCACTTTGTGAGATTGAGTCATTAATGTGCTACCCCAAAAGAGAGACACATTTAAGCATGTTCTATCTTCCATGTTGAAAGTAAAATGACAAAACAACTGTACTAATCCTAATTATATGTCACGTAAAAATGTTTGTTATGAAAATGTTTATGTTATGTTATTGGTAAAAAAATCAGAAATAATATTGGAGTAGGAAACTAAACAATGTGATTCAAATAAACTTTTATTTCATATGACACTTCAAAAGCAAAATAAAAAACAAAAGAAAATCTCTTTCAAATACATGACAGAACACAGTGAATGAAGGATACTGTAATGTGATCTCCCTTGACATAACATTTATCTGAGCTACTACACACATTAATTAATAAAACTCAAATGGAACTTGGGACATCTGATTAAAAGGTATTTGGGTCAGAGATAGGAACACTGAACTATGACTTCGCCTCTGAAAATCCACGGTATACCAAAGATCTCTGAAATGAGAACAAGAAAAGGTGAGATGGAAAAAATATTTGGTGAATAATATATATATACACACAGTATGTTTCATTCAAAAAACCACCAACATATTTTATACAAGAATTGCACAAACAGCACCATTGAAATGAAAGCAGCAATTGTGGGGGGAAAGAGCTGCAGCCAAAGTTACTATATAGTACTGTGGGGAATTTTTTGACTAGGCAAACACATTCTTACAAAATAGTGCAACAAAGTGGGGTCATTTCAAGTCTGCAGATCTCATTGTACATTACACCCAAAGCTCACACACCTATAAGCCTGTAGCCGACTCAATGTGTCCTATACCTCCTATGCCCTTGCAAGAGATTCAATGCCCACATGGAGATTTTTAAAGATGATGGCATTTCTTTAACCTCTCTTCTTCAGGACTCTTGCTAAAAATGTGGATAATGTTGCATAGGAATGCTGTGATAATCAAGAGTGTGTGTGTAAGATGCTTTGAAATCCTGGCACAGAAGGTAACCAGACAAACACAAAGAATTATCTTCAGAGAGATAGACAAGTTAGTCTTTAAAGTGCTACCAGACTATTTGTTGGGGTTGTTTTTAAAGTTTTTCCTGTTACAGACTAACAAAACATATGGATGGTATCATGTGGGTACAACCCACTTCTTCAGATGACCAAAGTGTTGGAAACTCTGATTCTATGCCTTAAGCAGTAAATTAAACTTGGTATCTAAGTTTCTATTACTACCTGTTAATGCAACGTGTAACTCAGTATGAGAATCTTGGAATTACAAACATTAGCCACTGGAATGCACTAAGTTGCCAACTGTATGCTCCCGAGACCTGGCCTTTTTGCCAGGTCTGCGCAGCCATGAGCACTACGAGGCCTGGGTCCAAATCTGGGGTTCCTAAGCAGTAGGATAAAATGCTCCCAGTTGTGGCTGGCCCTGGGATCGGGCTAGTCACAGTCTAACTGGGTTTCCCTATGGTCGGATTCAGGCAAAGAAGCGGCCGCCCTCCCCGGCACCGAGGAGAGAGGGGAAGCCCCGGGCGGGGGGTGGCAGCTGAGCAGCCCAAGCTCCATTAGGGACGCGAAGGGTCGCCACGTCCCTGGAGGGCCCGGGCCCAGGGGAGCGGGCTCCTGCCTCCCGCCCCGGGACAGGAAGGTCCTAGGCAGGAGCAGGGAGACGCACAGCACCAGGCAGGAGACCATCGCCACCTTCCGGACGGTGGGATACGCCATGGCCGCCCCGGGGGGTGGCAGCTGAGCAGCCCAAGCTCCATTAGGGACGCGAAGGGTCGCCACGTCCCTGGAGGGCCCGGGCCCAGGGGAGCGGGCTCCTGCCTCCCGCCCCGGGACAGGAAGGTCCTAGGCAGGAGCAGGGAGACGCACAGCACCAGGCAGGAGACCATCGCCACCTTCCGGACGGTGGGATACGCCATGGCCGCCCCCAACGGCCGCACGCGGCGGACTCAACCCGCGCTCGCCCACCCCCCCGCCGACCG